CACTTGTAAGAGCAGGTTGCCATTCAGAAAATATGAATTTGCAGGCATTTCTGGAGGTTACCTCTGAGTCCTGGTCAGTTCTCATGGAATTCTCTGAATGTTTCCATTTATTTCATGAGAGCTGCTGTGGTGTGTAACTGAGTGTGACAGTTAACGTTACATGCAGATGGCCATAGGATCAGGTCCCTCATGAGGAAAACAGCATCTTCAGAGCTCAAGATGTTGAATTAAGCAATCCAAGCTCTGATCCCTGAGCAGTGAGGGATAAGATTTAAGATAATTGTCCTATGCTGGTTAACCTGTGCTCTGTGAAGGCCAGGCCACAATACTAGCAGATCCAGAGAAGGAATACAAAGAACATAACAGCAAGGGCTGACTGTGGCTCTGCTGGTAAGGGGAGACAAAAGCAGGTTTGGAGATGGTGCAGCTGCTTCCCTGCTATATGACAGAGGTTGCTAAAGAGGAACCAACAGGAAACCCTACAGCATGGGAAACTTCATCCCTTCCTGTGTCATTTAGTGGTGAACTTAAACAATGAAAACAAACCCATCCTAAGTACTGTAATTAATTGAATAAATAAATACAAACAGTCAGTTCCACAGATTAACTCATGGTAATTGAGTTTCTCCCTCCTTCTTTTTTGACTTAGTTCTCTTGATTTAGTTGAGCGTCCACTTAAGCTGCATCAGGAGCAGGAGGGCACTTGCTTTGTCTTTTCCATGCTCTTCGGCTGTTTTGGTGCTTTGCTATTTTGACCACTGTCTTTGCTGTCAGAGAAACAATGGTGGCACATTGCTCTTATGGATCTTCCTCAGTGTACTTCCATACATATTCTTTGCCCTTTTCCTTTCTCCTTCATCTACTGTATCTCTTGATAAAGAATGGCCAGAAGTGCGTGTAGCAGTCCAGACTGGGACTGCTGCTGATGTACCTAATAGGATTATAAGACTTTCAGCATTAATCTTTATCTTGCTCCTCAGGCAGACTAACCTTTTACTTAGATTTTTGCCTCCTGTTGCACAATTAGCTGACTCTTCAGTGATTTCTTTACAGCTGCTGCTTTGTCCTTCTTCAAGGCCACTGTAATCAATGGAGACTTCCAGCATAGAGCACTGCAAGTTGTTAGGCTGTTGTGGTTATTTGTTTATTGTAGCAAGGGAACTTTTCCTTTTTCACTGATGAATATCACAATTTCCTTGACTTTTCTTATACCCTGAAGATTTGCATCTGTTTTATCCCAGGCTTCAGAGACAGATCTCTGTACCTTCTATGTAACAACTGCTACGTGAAGTTGAAGGATGTCTGCTTCTGCTTGTTGCATAGAAGATAAAGAGCTAAGGCTTCCCGTACACAGCTCATTCAAAAGAGGCATGAAAGATGGAAATGGGTGGAGAAGAGAGGCTGACTCTGTATTTGTAGCCTGGTTTCCTAAGGAAATGAGGCTTAAGCAGTCTATTTTTCATCTGCTTCTAACTTGGATCTGTAAAGCAATTTCAGCCAAACTAGAGGTCAGAGAGGTCTCACATACCAAGTTTTTTTACATTATTTATAAAAATCACCTCACAGAATCATAATACTTCCCAACTTGGAAGGGTCCCACAAAGATCACGGAGTCCAACTGCTGGCTCCACACAAGGCTACCCAAAATCCAAACCCTGTGGCTGAGAGTGTTGTCCAAATGCTTCTTAAACTGCCGGCCCACTGCCCTGGCAGCCTGTTCCATGCTCACCACCCTTGGTGCAGACCCTTTCCATAACCCCCAGCTGCTCCTCCCCTGACAGCTCCATGCTGTTCACTCAGGCCCTGTTGCAGAGCTCCCTGTGAGGAGCTGTAGCTGCCAAGAGGCCTCCCTTCAGCCTTCTCTTCTTTAGGCTGAACACACCAATTGCTGGACAAGGGAGCAGCTCACAGCACTGTCTGCCAGGAGGTAAAAGCTGCTGTGCTAACTCTGCAGGTAGGCCACAGATTTTGCCTTGCCACCTGGCGTGCAGCAGCAGGCACTCGGTCTGTGCCAGAGAGGCACTGGTACAGGCTGCCCAGTGATGTGGTGGATGCCCCATTCCTAGAGACTTTCAAGACCAGGCTGAATCAGGCTCTGAGCACCCTCATCTAGCTGTGGATGTCCCTGTTCATTGCAGGGACGTTGGACTAGATGGCCTTTAAAGGATCCTTCCAACTCTAAGGATTCTATGATTCTATGCAATGGAGAAGGAAGGAGCACAAGAGTATGCACAAGAGTATCTGGGGTGTGGGAGAAGACATTGAAAGAAGAGCAGAGTAAGAAGCTGTTTGCTCTGCACTCATCTCCAGTCACTACAGGAGAGGAAGGACTGAGGTGGGGTATGTTAAAAAACCATCAGTGGGTAGGAGCAACATTTTTCAGGCACTGGAAGGGGAAGGTAAGAATATTACTTCAGTTTGGTCAGCAAGGGTGACCGGTGTGCTTGAGGTGAGGAAGAGTTTTTAGCACTGGTTCATTTGGGTGAGGTGTGAAGATCAGCAAAGCACACAAGGAAGACTTGGACAAGGAATGACTTGGCAGTTTGGGCAGAGTGACCGAGAGTCAAACTTGTTTTTGTGGTTACTGTAGAGAAGGAACAATTTGGCAGTGGTTTGAGTATGAGGATGAAAGAAAATAACTACGTTGCATGGGAAACTTGGATGATGGGGAAGAGAGAAGTACTGTCTTCAGTAGGGAGAGGAGCTGTGGAATTGACCTGTGTTAGATCAGTTGTACTCCAGCCTGATCCAAAGCCCAGTGAAGCCAGTAACCTCAAGAGATGCTGGAAGAAGCCCGGGGCAGGTGTTTGTCTCCATAACCCCGAGTGCAGTTTACAGAAATACCCAAATGCCTTTTATCTTCAGTTTGTATGGTGTGCACAGAGAGCCTCCAAGCCACACAGTAAGCTACAGCAATGGCAGGCTGGGATCCAACATTCCTTAAAATAGCTTTCAGTCTGGTAAACCACAACAGTTATAAATGTCCATATATGCACACAGCATGCTACAAAGCAAATCAGTAAAACTCTCAATCTCCAATTTAGGCAGAGCGCATCATCTCATTAACAGTCCTTTGCATATGCAAAAGCATTGCACAGTTTCCTTCCCTTGCAGGATCTGTTTCCAGTGCTTATTGTCTGCTACTGGTCCGAGTGGTCATGTAAACCATTTGCATCTTCACCATCCAGTCACTGTCTGCTACCAGCACAAACTGAGGAAAGGAATATCAATCATTCAGTGATTATTTGCAGGAAATAAAAGCATGAGAGAGCAGCCTGCCTGAGCTGAGAAGGAAGGATAGAAATGTGGTACTCTTTATAACTGGAACCGAAAATATGATTCATGTGTTTTTATGAAATATTGTGAAGCTCTTTTGTGAGCACTAATTCTTTGGCTTAGCTCCTGCTGCCATTGAACTCAAAGGGAATATTTCTTACTAGCTTCAGTGAGAACAGGATCAAGCCATTGTCTGTGTGTTTTTCCTTGCCTTAACTGGTGTTGCTGTTTGTTAAGATATTTCAAGGGTGAACAATGTGTTTGATTTCCCAGAATCTTTCTGAGCACTCCTAGCTAATCCCTGCATCCAGCACAGCCCCTGTGGGTGTGAAATAGGCTCTGAGCTGGCTGTTTCCAGCCGAGCCTTTTGAAGCCTCTGTAAAATACTGACTCTTCTCATTTACTAGCTGCTTTTCTGAAGTCTGCTTTGTGCTTTGGGTTTTGCTACGCTATGCTACAGTAAGCATGCTGAATAGTGGGCAGATTGTCTTCGGTCACTGCTCTGGAAATCAAGATGTGTGCTGGCTCACTTAATTTCTTCACAAATACCTTCTTGAGCTACGGGAAGTACAATGCTGCACCATATCCCAGAGTGTTAATTTTTAATGTCGTATGCATTTAATGGACTCGACTGTAATTATGAGTCCCACGGCACAACAAATGCTACTGGCAGAGTGGAAAAGACCACTGCAGGTCCATGTGGCTCCACAATTAGGAATGGAGGCATTGATCATTTCCACTCCCAAGAGCAGCAGAACGGGATGTATGAATTTAAAACAAAAGCTCCAATGGAAAGAAAGGTATCTGCAAGGCAATAAGCATTCCCCTGCAGTCTATTAAATTCAGACTTTGCAGCATCATCCTGCTGCATTAAATAAAACTGAAACCTGGGCAGGGCAAAGTGGTTTTGACAAGCCTATGCCTATGTCCAGAATAATCTAAGTGAATAAGCAGCCAGGCAGCAATGCAGACAGGAGTTAGTACAGAAATTTCTCAGTGTTGTTCTTTTTTTTTCTACATGGTGTTATTTTTAAGTTAAGAATCCTTATTTCTTTCTTACACGAAACCTCGACGCTGACAGCACTCTTTTCAGACTTAGAGCTGGAAGGAAACTATCTGAAAGAGAGGAGGTCTGGATTTTTAGGGCAGATCCCATTGGTGTATCTGGTTGGGGAAATTCTTTCTTGTACAATGAGCCCAAGTGGACTTCACAGAGCAGCACAGGACTCTTCCTTTGGCAGATTTAATATAGGGTAAGGCTGCAGCATTCAAACCCTCAGATTTCAACCCTTGGATGCTGCTTGCCTTCTATCAGCTTGTCAGAGTTTTGAATGAAGGTGGAAGGGATTTGAGATAAATGATTTTCATTTTGTCCCGCCTCTGAAAACCATACTCATATATCCCTGGTGTTACACTGGATTATTTTGAAATCAGGTATTTCATTTCCTTTTTAAGGCATAGTCATCTTTTGTTGTGTAACTCATAATGTACAGCTATGGAAACCATTCTAAAAGGAAAGACAAACTGAATACCTGAATTACACGGATGGCAATGATTTCTCTGAATGCAATGGTATAAAATCAGTCCTGTAGTGGACTTGGTGCACTCAAGCTTAAATCAGATCCTAATATGTTTGCTTGTGCAAGAAATAGATATAACAAGTCAAAAATATTAATACTTCTCTGTGACAGGAAATTAAATTGATTTGTTTGTTTGTTTTCCAGGCTTATATTTGGCACTCTTTACCCAGCATATTATTCTTACAAAGCCGTGAAATCGAAGGACATCAAAGAATATGTGAGTAACAAGATTTGTGGCTGTGCTGCAGGATTTGTTTTCTAAAATTGCTCCTCACCAGGTTATAAAGGTGTCACCTGTATTCTCATAGAGCAGGACAAGGGGATGTCTGCCCTGAAGGTGGACTGGCTGAGTGCTAGGCACAAGTCTCAGATAAGACAACTTAGGTTCCTGCTTCTGGCTCCCCTGCGGAGCCAGCCTGCCCTTTGACAAATGCATGCTATTCCTCTGGTTCTGTGAGCTATATACAACAGACTTAAAAGGTGTTTGGCACCCAGAGCCTTGCATGCTTTCCTTTGTTTCTGAAGAGCAGCCTAAATCAAAGCCTTTTCAAAAAGCCTTGAAGCTTTGGCTGCTCATTCTAAACAAGGATCAGAAGAGGCAACTTGAAGAGCCTGCAACTGAATCCACAGAGACATGGATAGAAACATCATTCCTTATGGAGTGACCTATTTACAGACAGATCTGGCAACTGGCTGTGCTATTTTGTCTTTTACTGACAAATACCTTCATGGACCCAGTTTCTAAACAGAGATGGGCCCATTAGGGAAAGTGAAATGTGGGAGAATTGAAACCACTTGGACGCTGTGGGGTCCTGTAGGATTTATAGTGCCCCGCACAATGTAAGCTCTGTTAAGTTTGCTGAACCCAGCTCAGCCCCCTCTTCCCTCTTCAATCCTCTCAGCATCTCAAGGATGACAAGGCTGTTTTCTCCTCTGGGTTGCAGCCTTGATGGCTATCCTATTAAGTCCTTTGAGCGAGCTCAAACTGGGCTCACAGTGGCTGCTTAGATTTTTTCCCTTTATCATCTCCATTAGATAATGGTTGTGGATATTTTGAGAAAATTGTTACGGAACACATCAGGTGTTGCCTTTCAACCCTTGCACTGCTGTGCTGATTCTCAAGGTTTGTGTACCCCTTGCTTGGAGGTGCTGATGGACAGTAGCAGCCCATCAGTGTCTACCACTGATAAATTGCAGTTCCACCTTTTTTTCTGGATTTTTTTTTAAATGATTCTTCAATTCCTATTAGAAATTCAGTTGTGAAAGAGGGACTCGCATCAGATGTGGGGTCATGACCCAAATGTGGAAACAGCTGCTCTGCACTTAACGTTGTTTTTCAGTGTATCACACCAGTTGTAGAGATATGGTAGTTAGGGGTTTAATTACAAAAAAAAAAAAAAAAAAAAAAAAAGCTGTTTACATTGACACAACCCTTCACGTACTGGTCTAAAATTATATCACCGTAGTTTATTTTTGTTCTTTTCAGTAATAGTCATTTTGATAAATGTTGTTTTAGGCTGATTGAGGTCCATCCCCACCAGATCTTGGTTTATGTTTAGAATTTTTGCTGGCAGTAATGGCTAACTGACAGAACTGTGCTAGCAGCGAGGCTCTGAGCGAGCTGCAGTTATGTAAAAACTCTGGCAGAAGCTGCCTTGGGAAGGCAGTCCTCCCATGCCTTTAGCAGTGGCACTTTACACTAAGTATAAAAACAAATCTAAGTGCTGGGGGAGCACAGCTGGGCACCTGGTGCTCAGGGGGATAATTTCAGTACTTGTGGGCAGATGGAGGAGCACTACAGGCTCTGTCCCTGCTTCACTGGGGAGAGGATGGAGCAAGGCATTTCGAGCTGGTGAGTTTCAGCCTTATTGGCACCTCCACTGTTCTTCCCACTGCAGCACCAGGTGTGGATGTCCCTCTTGTGCTGCCTTCTTTGCGGCCTTCCCTCATTCTATTGCAGCCCTAAATAACACCTCCAACTCATCTATCTATACCTATGCCATGCTTTTTAATTTGGAGATGCAGATTCCTAAAGCTTTTTGAGCTTTCAGTTTTACAGTTTGTCTTTGGGGAAAAAAAAACAGTATTGAGAGAGAGCAAAAAGTTGCCTTCTCACCTCCAGTGCTTGGAAATTATTCCTCATTGCTTGATAAATGTTACTGGAGGTGCCGGTGGCAAGTGGCAGGTAATGGTATTTCACTTCAGCCCAAGAAGAGCCAATACCACATACATCAGAATGGCTCAGCTGTGCCTTTTAAATACATTTATTGATCACTGACAAACCCCCACAGATTCGTGAATTGTTTGAGACACTACAGTTTCCCTGACCAAATCTCAGTTCCTCATGGGACTTCTTCCATGTCTGTCACTGTCTCCTCAAAGGAGATAATCCATGAAACACCCACCAGTCCATAATGCATTAAGCACAGTGACAGCACAGCACGTGCTTTTGCAACCAGTGTGAAGTAAAGTGCTCTCACCTAAGCCCTCAGAAGGGAATGTGAGCTAGTTCACTTGCCCTTGCCCCTGCAGTGGGCTCAGGGGGTGTATGTGGGCAGGCACTGTTGCTGATGCATGCTAACTCAGCTCAGTTCCTGAGCCTTGGGTCACTGCACATTGCACATTACCTATCTGTCTCTTCCTGAATAGTTTCCCCTGCCTGTATGTATTATGTAAGTACATTTTGTCTTAATTGCAATTCCGTCCCCACCCTAATATTAACCTTGTCTACCAAGATGAGCCAAATGAAATTTTTAATACCCTGTGATAAGGCTGTGGCCTTTTCCTGGCCAGTAGAGCTTCCCCCATGGGAATGGCAAATCAAGCTGTCCTCCTTGTCCCTACACCAACTCTAGATCCTTCCTTCCTTGAGGGTTTGTGTGGAAATCTGCTGTGTGCTATGTACTGAGGTGGGGGGGAGTCCTGGCATCTTCAAGTTGTTACTGATTGTTCAATACGTAAGTGGGGAAAGCCTTTTTTCTATGAGAGTCTCTGCACACGTGCCTGTATGAGATTACTTGAGCTCTTGGGGGGAAAATGCCTGTTGCTGAAAGCTACTGCTTTCTTTCACCAGGTCAAATGGATGATGTACTGGATAATATTTGCGCTCTTCACGACAGCAGAGACGTTCACGGATATCTTTCTTTGTTGGTGAGCATCAGTTGAGAACAGCCTGTTGAACTGAAATGGAAATAAAATCAAAATGTCTGTAGGGGAAATAACAGGGCCCAAGTGTGCGCTCTCTTGAATACAGGATTAGCACCTTCAAATGCATAGGGATGTTTAGTGTGGAGGAGCCATGCTTCCTTTCTCAATGCTGTCATAAGGAAAGGAAGAGAGAAGAACTGCTCAGTGGTATCTCAGTAAGAAATCACCACAGGAGTCTTTGTCCCCTGCCTGTAAGAAATAGGGCTCTGTCAGATGCATATCTGTCAGATGCACATCTGATAGCTGATTTCTATGCTTACAGAGGTTGGCACATAAAAATAGTATCTTTAGCTACAGGCACGGTTCTAGGCTTAGATAGTTGTGCTAACTACACTGACTCTGTGGATCAGGCAGAAACAGCCCTGCAGCACAGAACTTAGTTTCTAGGTTGCTGCCTGGGTCATGTTTCTTCAGACATCTTGCCTATTTCTTCCTGGGTGGAATGGAGTTACAGTTTGATGGAGGACAGTGACAGTCTGAACTGTGGAAGGCTCACTGGTGCCAGTGGAAGGATTCCTGGCAGGCTGTCAGGGCTTGAGTGCATGAATGCCTAATCATCAGATTCAATTATTTAAATTGGGATGCTCAAGTTTGAAAATACTTGATTTTTTGCCCGTTTTATTACGGCTTCTTCTTAAGTAGTGAATACCAGTGAGTTCGATGGACTTGAGACTGAAGATTTAACTGTAGAGCACAGCCCTGACCTCTTAAGATTGCATGCCTCTAGTGGGTCCTCCAGACAAAGGGAGTCGGGTTATTTGTCAGCATGTCAGATCTGTTGAAGAGGAGATAAAAGACATTATTGTCTCTTTATCTAATTTGCATGCAAATCTGCTTTCACTGTCCTCATCTGGAGAGATTTCCATGTTGTTTTCTTTTGGAGGATGTGCTGTTTGGATCTCCCTGTAGGAATAGCACAGGGCTTGTCATTTCCACAGAGCCTATGAAATCAAGTATGCTGCAGAGAGCCTCAGTGAGGTGGAAGATCAGTTTGCCAGATCCATGCTCACAGTATCTCAGGGCACAGACCGTCTCAGGGACCCTAAATGCTGTACAGCCCAACTGGCTTGGTGATGGCCAAGGGGGGAATCAGAAGGCATAAAAGTGCAAGAACCTGTAAGCTGGGACAAGGGCTATTTAAGAAGAAAGAAGAAGGAAAAAAAGATTAAAAGAATAAAAATGCCCAAGTGATTCACAGTGGTTGCTCACCACCAGCTCAATGAGTCTCCAAGTAACCTCCTGCAGTTTAATTGCTGAGCGTTATGACATATAATATGAAACATTTCTTTGGTCAGGTGGGTCAGCACAGAAAAGATGCAGAAAAGTACTTGATTCAGTGTAAGAACTGCTTGGGAGCAGCTAAAATGTTGGTATGTTAATAGCAGTATTTTCATCATATATCCAAAATGGCACCCTGCCAGCTACTTTGAAGGAAATTAACTCTATTCCAGCTGAAACCAGGGCAGAAAGGCAAAGAAAAGCAAAGAGATGAAAGATGCATAAGTATATTGATGATAGACTGACTTGTTGGTTTGCTGTTCACTCATAAGGACAGTAAATGCAATTAAGGCAGCATTTGTGCTCATTGTGTGCACACAGCTCCTCTTATCACACAACAGACCATCATTTTCCAGACCATTAAATAATAGCTCTGATACTTGAGTAAAGATTTACACATGCCTAGTTGCAATGTGTGTGAAGGTAAGTTAATGTCTTTGGTCTTTGGATTCTTTGGTAAACAGAAGCCTTAAACCGAGCCAGCCAGTATGCTGAGCGTCTCTGATTAAGAGCAGTCACCAAAGTGAGAGTAGCCATTAATAGCTCTTTTTCTTCTAGGTTTCCATTCTACTATGAACTCAAAATAGCTTTTGTAGCTTGGCTGCTGTCTCCATACACTAAAGGCTCCAGCCTCTTGTACAGGAAATTTGTTCACCCAACTCTATCTTCAAAAGAAAAGGTAATCACAGGTGCCTGGGTGGAACAGATTTACTCTGTGTTTGCTCTGGTCTTCATACCACTCATTTTCGTTGAAGGACTGAGATTTCCTTATTTTCTTCCTTTGTCAGTTGATCCTCTCTTTTTGGTTGATGTGTTTTCGTTTTTTAGGGGTGGTTGTTTTTCTAAATACTGGCATCTGTTCAGCTCACTCATGTGTATTAGCTCATGTTTGTGCACTTGAGAAGTTGGGAGGGAGGGGATAATAATACCTCCAGAGCTGTTCTGCACGTACTAGCTGAGTATAGCTGGAGTGCTGTGTTGTGGCTGAATGTAATGATTAGAGAAACATGGTCTGACAGCCAGGACTCCTTAACTTCGTACCCAGCTCTGTGCAGCAATGAGACAAATAGTCCAACCTGTCTGAAAGGGACGTAGCAAGCACTTGCCTGACTGGGAGAGGTGCAGAATGTTGAAGACATGTAGCGTGTTGAGGACTCGGCTAAGAAATGTCCTGCTGAAGTTTATGATGTTAATTTCAGAGGAGGCATTACAGCTTGAATTGCTTGCCTGCCTGGGAGACTACCATGGCTGTGAATGGGACATTGTCAGGCAGATCCAACTGGCTTGTATGAATACGTGGGCTAAGAATAGCTATCAGTCACATATCAACATACAAGCTACTAAGAAGTGAATAACTGTTTCCCACGTTGCCAGCCATGGCAGTGAAAGATCTCTATTTAAGCCAGAGGCAGTGCATGAACAATTGTGTCTCAGTCCTCTCCAAGGGAAACAGTGAGGATCAGTTCCCTTTTTGTTTCCTGGGTAATTCTGTTTATGCTTCTCACAAGTAGTGCTAATGCATTTTGGGTTACCACCTCTCATCTGGAATGAGAACAGAAATCACTAAGAACCCAACAGCTTCCTACAGTCTCCAGCTCCTACTAACCCAGTATATCCAGTAGCTAATTGCTGGAAGTTGTTGTCATCCGTTATCATCTAAGTCCCTGTGTCCTGGGGGAAGAGAGCACAAGGACAGGAACTTTCCCTGCATATTTTGCAATGTTAAAATCCAGACCCTCTAGGCCTATAAGTTCCATGGGCATTTTGGAGATGGACACTGCAGTGATATGCACAGATACCTCAGATACTTTTGAGAGGACCAATACTGGACCCAGGGCAGTAGAACTGCAGCTGACCAGCATCATACTGCCATTTCTTTTTCACTACGCAGCAGTCCAGTTTGTCTTTGGAGTCCATAGACTGCCAATGGCTTCTGACACATTCTTTCCAGGTAGATGTGTCTGCCTTGCTTCCAGCACCTATCATGGTGGTTGCTCTGTGCAAGTATGTTCCAAATTTGGATCTCAGTCTTCCATTCATGGAATAAAGAGATCCCAAAAGCTGACTCCCTACTGACTAGCTGACTATTGACTACTAGCTGACTACTGCTCCCCTGCAAATCTTCCCCATTTGCAAATGAACTTCTCCACTGAAGTACAGGGGAAAAGGAGCACGTCTACTTCCACAAAGTTTGCCAAGTTTGAGGCTGGGAACGCTGAACTTATCACTCTTTTGGGTTTTTTTTGTTTGTTTTATTGTCTGCTGTGACAGGAGATCGATGACTGCCTCGTCCAGGCGAAAGACCGGAGCTACGATGCCCTCGTGCACTTTGGGAAGCGGGGCCTGAACGTCGCGGCCACAGCAGCTGTCATGGCAGCTTCCAAGGTAAAGGTGGGGGTCAGGATGGTGATATTAGCATCTCATCCACATCCATTGCCACCTACAGCCACGGTGTGGAGGGGGAGACATACCAGGGGTAGGGATTCTCTCACTGGTTTTCATCATACCTCCCAGTTTGCTTCCTATTCACCAGCCACAGATGTGCCTCTTGGGATGAAGACAGTAAATGTGGTGCTTAGAGAACCTGTATGAGGTTGTAAATGCAGCATGAAAACTAGGGTCTGCTTCAGGCCTCTTTTTTTTTTTATTTTCCATGCCATTCAGTACCCTGGTGACAACATTAGCAGTGCTGTTCATCACAGCCTGCGCTCTTTGTTCTCTCTATCAAAGTGAGGGCATGAATGATGCTAACACGAACACAACACCCTAGCTAGGAAGTAGTTTTTTGTCAGTACCTTGCTGGTGAAATGAAAGGCCCAGCTTGTTATCTGTTGTGCTGCATTCTTGAGAAGTCTAGTGACCTCTAGTCCAGATACTAACAGAAAGTACCTGTGACTAGAAGTTCAGGAAGGCTGAAAATTTGTCTGACAGATTTACGCATAACATACCTGGTGTGTAATTCTCTGGGGACGTGCTTATGTGAGAGTGAATGGGAAGTGACATTAGTTGCTTTTGGGGAATGAGTAGATGCTGGAGGAGTGGTCTTATCTGAGGAGGTGTGTCCTGTACTCCAATCCTGGCTTAGAGCCAGGACCAGAAAATAGCTGTTATCTGTTTCTTTGCATGAAAGGTGCAAGAACTTGATAACTGGGTATTGTGGTTCTGCTCTCTGGCAATGGATTACCACGGCTTAGGATAGATGTGCATAGCAACAATACTCTTGTGAAACAAGACTTGTCTAAAAAATGCAGCTTGCATGCAGCCAAATACAGTGTTTCTCACAGAAGGGTAACGGAAACATATGAGCAAGATGGATGCTGGCATTAGGAAAAACGCATGAATGGGAGTTGAAGGAAATTATTTTCCTCTGCCAAATGCTTTTCATATGACCCTGGGCACATCATTTAGCATATCCTGGCCTTATCTCCTGTAAAAATGAATAATTCATCCTTGGGAGGCCAAATATGGTATAGGCCATTAAGCAAGTGGAATTGAAGAAGATGTTATGTAAGTGTGAGCCCCTGAGATGTGTCATATACACACAGAGTGACAAGGATACACAAAAACTGTTCCAAAAAAAGGCCAAAAATTACCTCCTGTTCCACTGCCAAGCATTGGGCAGACTATGGCTGTCAGCCCAGCTCAGTTCTACTGGTACACTGCTCTATTGCTCTTAAGATTCTCACTGCCTTGAAATACAGCTCTAGTGGCAGCAGGAAACCAGGCAGAATGGAGAAGACAAGGAAAGTACTGCTTTGTTTCAGATAATGAAGCTTCACTTTCATTGCTGGAAGAAACCAACATGTGCTGTGACTTCTGTGGTACTGCTGTATGGAACATCTGCCAGTCAGACTTGAAAGTAAACAGTTAAAATATTGCTTCCTGTGCTGGACCAAGAGAGTCTTTCCTGCATGTTTCTCTGGGGATAGGGAAGTGTTCTGTTAATAGGATGGAGAGGTAGTCATCTGATTGATTGATTTATACAATAATGCAAGGAACATTCATTCCTTTCATTCAACCTTGAGATTTAAGTTACAGCATACTTGAGGAAAAATGTGATTCCTGACTTCTTCACCACTTCAGCATGTAGCCCTGGCAAGTTGCTTGCTTCTGTGTTCCTCAGGGTGCAGTTTCAGCAGACAGAGTAAGGTGGTCTAACAACCCTCCTTTTCCAAAATGGGGGTGCTGCTCCCACTCCTGTTGGGTTTCTCTGCACCAGCTGTTTGGGTCTCTGCATTAGCTCTAATCCATTTTAATGCAAATTCATAAGGAGAAAGAAAGGGAGCACCATTTTTCTTATCAAGTGGAAGAGTCCACAAGTGTGTCCCATGAGTGCTGGAGCCAACACAAGGGGAGGGACAGAAGTGCATCGTGAGGAGTATGAGTGGAGGAGATAAAAACAAGACTTCCCTTCCTGGTTGTGAGTAGGAGATAGTTCAGCTGTGCTGCTCATGGAACCGCACCCTTAATACCTTGACACTTTCATGGTACAGTAGTTAGGAGTGGTTGAGGCAGTTTCTGTCCCTGCCCTTCTCAGCCTGAAATTTTGGGCAGGGGAAAGTTGAATGGTTGTGACTGTGATTTTCAGCCTGATGTGTTCCACTGTAGGAGGACTGAGCTGTGGTGCCTCCGTATTCAGGATGTGAGGTGCAGTGGCTCAGGTGTGATCGTGTTCCTATTTATCTATCCCTGCTGCAGGGGGAATGGTTTCCAAGAGCTGAACGATGGTGACAGCTTCTGTTGTCCTGGTTTTCAGCCGCTGTTAAATGTATGTCAGCACCCTCACTGGCACACTTGAGAAGGAGGTATAACAGAGGCAGATTATCCTGTGTGAGTGAAGTTTAAGTGATTATTTATCTAAAAAACACTTTGAGCTGACAGATGCCAAACCAAACTGCAGTGCTGTCCTCAGAGGAAAGTTTCCAGGGAAGAGCAAGGAGAATAGTAGTTCTAAGCCTTATCCTGACTTTCCCTATGCCAGAGTTTAAGGGTATCCAGCTTGCCTGAGATAAGAGTTGAGTGTAGATTGGAAAGTGAGCTCTGAAGAGGCTCATTGGGTTTCAGCCTTTACCAGGTCTGTTAAAACTGTAACCTACAGAGGTGACCGTCTATTCAGAGCTATTGAGCACCTGCAGGTGCCATGGAAAATGGGGCTTTTACCAGCAAGTGGGAGGATTGCTCTTCTTTTCTTCTTCACTTGGTTTAAAGGATGAGGAAAACATGATTTCCTATTAAGAAATAGACCCTCAGACATTGCAGTGGGAACCTTCTGCTGGCAAATACACAGCGAGATGCTGGGTTAAAAGTGTGCTCCATCTAGACTTGTTTTTCAGTAAATTAGCTTCAATCTAAAGCCTCCTGTACTTGGAGATATGTCTCCCACTGTGCACAGCCCTATCCATTCCTGTCTTTGTCCCATGGTGTGGGACATCTTGTGCTCCCCGTGGTCCGGATCCATCACGATCTCTTCTCTTTCGTGATCTCTGTGTGAAGCCCATCATTCTTTTTTTTGTTTTTTTTTCTTAATCCACAACACAGCACAGTATTGCTGGCTCTCTGATTATGCTTTGTGTCTGACAGGCTGCTACTTAGATGTTTCTCATAGGCTAAGAAGCTGCAAGCTGAGCACAGCCACACACCTTCCTTATCTCTGTTCCCTGACCTCTTTCCCCTTTCTATCTTTCTTAGCTAAGTACAGGCTTCTCTCTCTCCCTCCTCCTGCTCCCCTCCACGGCTCTGTTTTGTTTTGAAGCCACAGTTGTGCTAATGTTGGCACAAACCTGTGCCAGTTCATTTTACAGGCCGAGGAGCTGTCAGTGTCCCAAGTACCCTGAGCCTGCCCAGCTGGCTCACTTGGGTGTTTTCTCTCTCTGAGTAGAGTCTATTTTTGATGCTCTCTAAGCAGACAGGGCATTAGATAGCTGGCTTTATTACCCCTTCTAGGTGCTCAGCACGGATCTTTTCCCTACCCCGAACAGCCTGTGTCCCCTCTAAAGAGCATAATCTTATTTGGGGCTCTGTAATCCTGTCCTCATTGGTTGGTCATCTGTCACACACTGTGACTTCAAGTGGGTCAGTGCTAAGTGGTGGGATTAGATGACCAAGCATTAAATCTTGCTGTTCTTTGCATGTTTTTTGTTCCAGTTAGTTCAGCCATTCCCACTCCCAAGGAGCCGTGGGCACTGATCACCTCTTTTCCGGCTCAGCTTGCAGCAGCAGAAGAGAAGCACAAAAGGAACCTGATTTGTGTCTAAGTGGCTCGCCTTCCCTCTGCTGTCACTGCAGAAACAGAGCAGCAGCAGGGCTGTTATGGGACACAGACAGTGGGGCAGGTGCAAGGCTTTGGCTGGGCAGCAGAGCCATCAGATGGAGGCCTGGGCACAAACAGGCCTTTCATTGGCGGTGCTCTGGTTTCTGATGAGAGCAGCTGAGACACGTGTGTGACTGCAGTGAGGAGTGGTACTGATGGCTTGGAGGCAGCACCAGCCTCTTCTGGCACACCCATAGGAGCAGTTGCTCATCTTCCACCTGTCACCCCAAGCTTTCCACCACCTGCTGCCTTCCTCTGTCCCCAGTTGCTAACTCTCCACTCCTTCCTTCCCTTCTCCGGAGCCTGCTGTGCTCTGCCTTTGCTTCCTCTGTTTCCATAGCCCTTCCATCACCAGTTTTACACTCTTACAGCTTTTAACGTCTTCCATTCTCTTTGAATCTTCCTCAATTCCCAGATTATATTATCTTATTCCTCATCCTGAACAAACCAATTCAGCCAAACAGGTCAGTGTAATTTTACCACAAGACAAATCCTGCTCCCAACTACTTAACCACCTGAAATTGCAGTCTCAACTCTGTTCTTCAGAGAAGAGCTGCAGAAAACATCCTGCAGCCATCAGGCCATCACAAGTCCAAGATTTCTAATAACATAACTCCCTTGGTCTTCTGTTTGCACAGCAGCTGATGCTGTTCCTGTTGTGTGCTCCTTGGTGCAGCCTGCCTTCAGGAAAGGAAGTAGGGGGCACAGCACACTGCTGGCAGTGGGCACAGAGCCTTGGCAGGAGATGATGAACGAGGTGGAAGGTGCAGGCATGCATGACTGGTGTCGATGAAAACACATTTATGCCTAATAAGTATAAGAAACAGTCCAGGAGCCTTTCATGCGTAGTGAAATATGGCTTGCAGTGCTGCCAGAGCTAGCAGTCGTTCTGGATATCTGTTAAAAAGGCCAGACATGCAGATGAAGGGGGAAGCATTCAGTACTCACATCCACCTCTTTAGCTGCTGCATCAGCAGTTCCCAAACTGCTTCAGCTCAAGACCGCCTGACAGGTCTGGCAACATCACTTCCATTCCCTCTGGGCTCATCACCCCATAGGGGCTGCAGCACTGCTGGGTTAGGTTTCCTGAACCCAGGAAATTTGTTGGAAAGTCTTCCATTTTTTGCTGGATTTTAAGCCAGGAGAAGAAACACCAAAGATCACTTAGATTTTATCCTCACTGGTCAAACAGCATTTTTTCCTTCATTTCAAGTACTTGGCTGATGTAGCCAGCGCAGCTGCCCAGAAATCAGAAGTATTTAGCTCTCTGATTTCCCGTGATGATTGATAGCTCTTAATGTTTAGAGTCCAGACTTCTGTGGAAGAAATGGTGTCTTCTGTGGCATGACAGTGGAGACCTGCAGTTTTACTTGAACTGGGAAAGAGTGAGGTGGGGAGCCTCCTTTCCTAAGAAAAGGAAGGATAAAGCATCTTTGTAATGACAACATTGCAGAGTAAGTGTTTCTTTGCTTATCAAATGCATCATAGGACAGTCTGTCCAGTCTGTTTAGTACCATATCTGTAATGGCCATACATAACGTGTGCCCTGTTCTTTTATATGGCCAGGAGCTGCAGAAATCAGGAGGGCACCTGTTATTGTTATCTCAGAAGGGCTGAGCACGTTCCTTATGAACGCAGCCTTCTTCAGAAGATCTTCACTTGGGATTCAAAGCCAGCGATCTCTTGGTTGAGCTATATTATCCCAACAAAGGCTTTCTTGGAACATATGTTACCACTAATCACTATTTCATGAACGGTATCTGTTGTGGTGTAATACATTTTTTCAGATTCAAAAAACTGATTTTCCCCCAAATCAACAAAACACAGTCCCTGCTGCAGAGGTACAATCCACCCAGCTGGTTCCGTTTTTTTCATCTCGTTGGCTCTTGCATGAATGTCTCCAGGAGCAGACAATAGCTAGTGAATGCACAGGACAGCAAAACCAAACAATAAAAGTACCCTGAGAGGCTGGGCTGGGAGACACAATTTCATACTGTTCCCAAGAGAGGAAATGGACTGCACAAACAAAAAGGGTGGATGAAATTAAGTTTCCACCATCAACGTTAATGTCAGCTGATTTCCCTTTGAGTCTTCTGTACTGTTTGACCTCTCCAAACTCTGTAGCTCTTCCCATGGCACGCAAGCCATAAAGATATTGTTTATAGGATAGCTGCATTCATGTGGGTTGACAATGGCAGAAGCAACTGCTCCCTTCATTCCGGCCTCTGCTTAGCCCACAGAGCCAATGGTTTTGCTCTTATCAGGGCCTTCTGCAGGCAGGCCCTGTGAGCTTCTTCATGCAAACGTGCTTGTTGGTGTAATTCCCCAGTGTTACCCCACTTCTCAGAAGGGCTGGTAATCACTTGGACTAAAATGACTCCTGAGCATCCCTGACCTAATCCTGTGCCTAAACTAGTCATAAGTTAGTCATGTAGTGCAGTCTGTTCTTAATGACTGTCAGTCTGTATTACAGAGGTGGTCAGACACTGGGGGTCTCTCCCGAGGGATGAACCTGTGAAGTGCAAAGAGTGACAGCCTGTTGTGTTGATGATTTGCTTAACTCTTTAAACACACTTGCTAGGTAACACCCTGTCAGCTGGGGTTATGGAGTGTTCTCTCCATCTCTCTGGGAGAGCTGAGGAAGGGAGAATCTACATTCAAAGTTGTAGTTCACAGGTGGGTGCCCCTGCTTTTTATGTGTGTGTGAGTCCCTGTACAACAGTGTCATGCTTATGTCTCACCTTGATTACTTATGCTTCAAATCGACCTTATTCTCAAAGCTTTTATGTTTGTTGCCACATTGGCTCTTTTTTTCCCTTGCTAGGTCTCTCAACTACTTCATTTACACTTGTATTTGGACCAGAAAAAAGGGCAGGTAATCTGCTGAATGCTTCTGCTTACACCTAACTAACATCTGCCTCCTTGCAAAAGACTAGTTTGAGCTGTTTTCAGCTGAGATTGGTCTCAGGACAGATGCTGTTTGCTCTGCTTCCAGTAGGTAGATCCTATGTGCTGAGCTTTAAAAGCCTCTCCTTGATCTCACCAGCAAAATGCCTTCCAAGTCCTCTGCTGGCAGTAAGAGACTCCAGCAGTCAGGCAGGGAGCTCTGAATGCAGAAAAACCATCTAACCCAGGTTGTTGCTACTGTGTTGGCCAAGCTGCCATGTCTGTTTTTGTTTTTTTCACTAATGGACAGAGGGAGCCTCGTTCCCATTGCTGTGATCTCATTAGAATGGTTGGGCTTGCAGTGGGGCTAGAGAGACCAGGACTTGGCCCAAAGGTGAAGATGGATTTCTGCAAGCATTTTCTGGCAGGGGTGGCTGGGGAAGTCCTGCTGACACTGTAGCAATAACTGATGCCCTAGGAGAATGCACTGCCCCTGGAAGCAAGTGTCTGCAGGATGGAAGCTGTAATATGCATGCAGACGTGTCTGCTACTGTGTAACAGGAGTTACAGCAAAGAGGGAGGAGAAAATTAACAGGTTTAGTATTGTGCTGGAAGTGCGGTGATGTGACTTAGTGTTCCCTTGCCTGTCCGTTAACTAATGATCTTAAAACGAGAAAGGCCGGAAGGTGCCATCCTGCATTAACAGAAAGCTTCTCTTACATGACTTGGCAGTTTTTGATTCCTGATTTGTGTCCAGTCACTGTGCTGTTACAGTTTCAGCTGCAAAATGGAGTTTCTAGTTATTAAAGATGTTCTGAAGCCTAAATAATGTCTGCAGAATTCTTTCAGATGGTCTAACTGAAGATATGATGAAATCCAGATGCTGTTATTTGCTTATATTTCGATTATACTTAATGAGACTTTGTTACATATATTGCAGATTTTAAGATTATGTTCGTAACTTTATTTTCCTGGAGACTGTATACAACCACCTACAAATGTAGAAGAATTTTTATGAATGATTCCATAGTATGTAGACTCAATTTTTTCCAACTCTTAAGTCCACCTCCTTTTTAAAACTTGTATTTCCAGTGTGAATGCAGAGATGAACTCTGGAGAGGCAAAGTAATTCTGTTGCATTGCCTTTTAGAGTATCTGTCATGATATTGACTGCAGATTTTGGAAAGGACCAAAATTTCTGATCCTTCCAGGCTATGTTGGTTGGGTGAGTGTTTGTGGCTTGGGCTGTTAACACTGGGTTAATGTTCTTTACTAGGAGGTGATGTTACCATGCGCTTTTTAGTGTTTGTCTTCTGTCCTGTCAGTGCCACTGAGCCCTGTTCCAGTCTGGCCCTTCTCTGCTCCTTCCCTGACAAAACAAATGATGAGAAGCATACATTAGCTCCTTGTTCTAAAGCTTTTAGATCATTCTGTGCCATTATATCACAGGTTGCAGTGCAAAAAATAACTTAATTTTCAATGCAAAAGAGTGTATTAGTGTCATCTTCCCTGCCAGGTTGGTCTGAGACATGAATCTCATCTCTAATCTGACTCACATCCACATACAGAAATCACTCTGTGGAATGAAATGCTATTTGGGTTAGCTGGCTGAGCAAAGCAGCTGGGAGGAGGCTAAAAGCTTGAGTTCTGCTGACATTTGAGCTGGTGGTGCAAGAGAAATACAGCACTCGTGGTACAGCAGCTTATCAATTGCTAAGCCCTCAGCTTCGCTTGTCCAGTCATTCTGCAACAGCAAAATATTAGCTAGTGATCTGATTGCTCATAACAAGTTCTTGCTAGGGAGCTGTCTGTTGTAGTCAGACTCTGGGGTAGAATGTCTTGTGTCCCCTTTAATCAGCACCGACAACTGGGCGGCAGTGCGGGAATTTGAAGAGCCGCAGAATGGTTTGGGTTGGAAGGGACCTCAAGGATCATCAAATTCCAACCCCCATCACCTGCTCACGTCCAGTTTTTCTGCCACCTACACCCCCAAGTCCCTCTGTGCAGTACTGCTCTCAGTCCATTTATCCCCCCGCTCTGTGCTGATGTTTGAGATTGCCTTGATCATGGTGCCAACCGAGCATGCACAGAGAGGTGTTAAGACACCAAATGTTCAGTAAACTGAGGAGAAAAACCCTACTGTGGCTTCCTGGCTGCCTCCACCAGGTGACTGCCCTACAAAGAACAGCTCAGTTTTACTGTGCTTAATGGTGTGTGTTTCTACTGATGATGTTTCAGTGCAGCACTGAAGGAGTTATCACCATGTGCTCTTTGGTTCTTGCTGATGTAGAAAAGTGCTGTAGTCTGGGATGAGCAGCCTGTCTGTGGCTGAACTGATATGCTTTGGAAGTCTGAATCCTGAGAGGGTTTTTCAGCCTGAAGCTTTTTATAAAGAAAAGTTGGTATATTACTGATCCAGCAATTTCCTTGAATGTAGAGACTGAAAGTTGCCACGGCAACTTTGGTTATAAGCACCTTGTGCTGTGTCTAACTACAGTGCCTAAAAGTAAGTTGCTAAGGAAATTATATAGGGTAGAAGCACTGATTTCTCATTACTCTGCTTGTGAAATTTCTGAAGTGATGCTGGTAAATCAGTACTTTTAGGTAACTCAGTACATCAGCATGTCAATGCCATTTCACTAAGGGACAGGCACGGAATGTCTTTGTCTCTTGACTGAGAGCTAGTCTGAAAAGCAACACAAATGGAAGGAGTTTATTTCTTCCTTAAACTTCATGAGAAAAGCACAGGAATAATTATTTGCTTTTAAGAATAACTTTTCATTACATCCAAATTTCAAATGTGCTGTCCTCTGAAAATTCTTAGTGTGACTGAGAACTGCTGGATGAATGTCATCGTAGAGGATTAACTTCAAAAGGAAATTATTTTGATGTGGACCATTTAATTGCAGTTCTGAAACAAGAACTTCGTATCATTGAAGGAAAGTACCTCCCAGAAAGTTCCTACATCCTCCTCCTCCTCCTTCAGATGTGCCCAAGGCTGCTCCAAGTTCAAATGACTGCGTTGAAGAATCAGAGATGCTCTCTATCACAGTTTCAAATGATCACATTCTGTGCACAGAACCACTCTAAACGGAAGAGCAAAGACAGTAAAATGATGCTTTTAACACTCATCTACATCCTCTCTAGGTTACTGGAGCAGGCAATTTTTTTCTTTCCCTGTTGTCCTAATGGTCAAACTTTCATTCATTTTCATTTCATTCAATGAGCTGGGGAGAAGGAATGTTTGAAATGCACTGTCTAATCTAACTTCTGTGTATGTCATTTGCTTGCTTGTTTAACTAGGGACAGGGGGCCCTGTCTGAGAGACTAAGGAGCTTTAGCATGCAGGATCTCTCAACAATTCGTGGTGACAGCAGCAGCACTGTTCCTCCTTCGGTCACTGTACGAACAAGTAGCAAACAGAGCCAGCCAAAAACATCCAGAAGTGCATCGGAAGGTACTGGCAGCTCAGGTAAGTGCCAGCGTTATTTTCAGTGTTGTGTTGTCTGGAATATCACACAGCTTAATGAAGTCATGCAGTTGGCAGGAATATATAGAAACAGACATTGCAGGCAGCACATACCAGAACTCACAGGACACAGACACACTGTTGAGTCTCTTGGCACTTAAAGAGAGAGAACAGTATTGTTTGATGGTTACTGTTCCTGACTGGTACCAAGGACTGGACTTGTGCATGCAGGGAGCCAGTATCAGCCTTCACTAGCTGAAAAGTTGGGTTTAGGGCTAAAATCAGTGGTAGGTTTTCAATGAGAGGCACTAATGGTGGAAAACATGGTGGGAATGAAATCCATTCCTGTATACACCATTAACAAATTTTGCTTTCATTTGTGGCAAGTGATCCGAAGGTAGTGTTCGTGTCTAGAATAGAAAACTCTTATTCAAACACAAAGAAAACCTTCCAAACCCTCCATCCATCCCATCTCTCTTACTTATTTCATTGAGGTTCCTCACCCTGCTTGTTGCAGAGCCCTTCTCCCCTCACAGCCAATGCAGACAGGCATCACTAAGGGGCTTTTGCACTCACTTTAAATCAAATTAAGTAAAATGAATGGTTCTCATCTCTCCAATCCTTGTGCTGTTTTGTGTGGGCACAGTTATGTATGTAGTCAGAATGACTAGAGGGGCAAATTGACCAGTCATAACTAGTGTGTGTGTGGGATCTATCAGCCTGTATGAGGCCCTGAGAGCTGCACACCAAGCCTAGGCATAGTCTCACTGCTTCACCTTCTGTGTTTGCTTAGTTGGAATTTTGCGTGAAAGCAAGGGAGAGAAAGAATATGCTGCCCATTAGTGTGCCACATGTGCATATAATATATTATATATGGGCATGTGCATAGACAGTTGCTACCAAACAGCTGACATACGGCTCTTTTTCCTGTCCCAAAGCCCCGACATAACACAAATGTCCATGTCAGCAATCCCCACTGTCTCACAGTGAAACATTAGACTTTTCTTTACATTCCTGTTTTAGAGATAATGGCAGTAAGTTGGTCTGACATCAGAGAGAGTCAGCAAAAATACCCCTGCCTGTTTGAACTGAGGATGAGTCAGATGGAGATCACTGCTTTCTTGAAAAGGTCCCAGAAGCCACCAGCCATGAGAAAGCCTGACAGCAAGAGCTGGGATGCATGGAACAGCTTTAGGAAAGTTAACAGAGAGCTTGGCTAGGACTGCATACACTTTCTGCAGTAGAAATCCTGCTTTATGGAGGCTTGTAGGGAAAGCTGGAGCGAACAGGTCTTGCATATGCAAGAGAGGCAATGTGGTGATCAGGGGGAATCACAACTGAGTTCAGACCCTGCTTTAGTACAAAATGCTGGTGTGACCTGGAGCGTCCTCAGTGTGTCTGCAAACCAGGACAAATTGTACTTTCCATGGCCAAATCCTGAAAGTCTCGTGTGATAGAAGATTCTCATGTATTTTAGGGTGTATATCTTAGAAGATGTCTTATGTACACCTTACATTAGTGATCAGAACATGTGAAATACCTGATTGGTGTCGCAGTCCTGACTGCAGAGCCATCCCAATCTTGCAAGGTTTCTCAGTTGCTATTTGTTAGGTAGTTCTCCATCTTATCACTACCTCTGAGAAGTTTCTGGACATCCAAAGTGTCCCTTATTTTTTCCTGTTCTCCTGTTCTGTTCTTCCTTTCCCTATCCAGGCATCTGAGGCACTGCATGTGGGTGTGCTGTGATTTAGTTGATTTGATATGGGTTCCAATATTCCCATAGCCCTTCTTCTGCCATTCATTCATCCTGGTGTTTCCCTGCTCACTCTCTCATCCTCCATTCATTCTGACCAATTACAGCTGTATGCAATTACAGCTTTCAGTGTCAGTGTCCACATTTATAATGTCAGTAACTGCAGCAGGGACAGTAACCTGAAGTGTTATATTTTGCCTAGGTGCTTTGGGATGTGCTGATGTACTAGTGGGGTTTGCTTGAGGAAGGAGGCATTACTAGGCCAAAGCCAGCCTAGAATGGGGGAGCCAAGCACTGCTGGAGCTGTTGTTACTCTTTACTTTGATCCTGACATCCCCATGCCTAGGAGCATGTGTGAGCGTCGGTCATTTTTAAGGGACATCCACAGTCACTGTTGAAGGAATACCTACACACCCAGATTGCCCATGGGAGGGCTTTTATAGTGCTCCTGAAAGCTCCCTTTATTTCTCTCATATGGCCATCAGGGATTCTCAAAAGCTGCAGGATTTGCTTTCCATCTAGCACAGGCTCTTTATTTTCTCTGTATGCCAAACAGTGGTGTAAAGGAGAGAAGAGGAGCCTTATGATAACATGATGTGAAATGCTGCCCTCAGGACATGGAACAGACTTGCTGAAGCCATTCAAGCTGTCTGGTAGTAAAGAGCTGTGGGTGGGAAGAAATCCTGAAAGTGGTGTAGCTGTGCTCCAAAGGCAGCCAAACCACCCAGGGAAGATCAGAAGTAATTTCCTCAAGCTGTCTGTGATCTATCTAGTTTTCACTACAGAATCTGCTGACGTGTGGGGAGCTGCCCTGCTGCTCCTGCTCTCAGGTTGTGGCAGCCCCAGAGCTGTGAGACTGTGGATGCTGGGTCAGCGTCCTGGGAAATTACTGCTGTTGTTTGCCCTCCAAAGTAACTTAAGACACTTTGGAGAGATATAGCAGGAAACCAAGAGGTGAGGAACTGCAAAGTCCTCAAGTCAGCTTGGCTGCAGAACAAATGGTACCTGGAAAGACAGCCTCACTTAGAACAATATGGCAAAGACAAGATTTGTCTCCTTAGGTCTAGATTACAATTTGAGTGAATTCCTTGAGCATTGAAAACGCAGCCAGATCTGGTGTGGAACTCAGTGTTACTCGCTTCCCATCCTGTTGTATGACTGTGCATATGGGATATTGAAAAGAAAGTGATTTCTACAGACAGAGATGGAGAGAGGTCTGCTGCCTTCCCTGCACAGAGACAGCTGAAACTCAGCTCTGTTGGTATGAAAATCCCCACTACCCCAGTGAGCACCAGGAGCGCTTTGGGTTCTGGTTTCACATCTCTGGGAATGCTTCCAAGCCCACCGAGACAACTTTCCTAACGGCAGTGGGCTTTGGCTCTGGCCAAAGGCTGGCTGCAGCATTGTGCTGTACTCCAACTACATTAAATAACCACTCAGCTACTTTCATTTCCATTGCTGTTATTTTTTAACATGTGACTGGTGCTGCTTAGATTGATTTGTGACTCCCTGAATTTCCTTTTGACAGCAAGTACTGTGTGAAGAGCTTGGCATTTAGTTAGCAGTACCAAATGCAGACATAGCAACGGTTTATTTTTGTCTGCAGAACAGTGTCTTATGAGGCTGTGACATAGGATATGCCAGAGTTGCCTTTGAGACAAGGGGAATGAGCCCTACTTTTTGCTGTTTCTCCCATAGTTGCAACCAGCACTCTGGCTGAGGCAGCTGTGCTAGTGCTTGAGCAATAGCTGAGATGCTCAGCGAGCCTTTGGTGCAGACAGCTGAGCCACGGGGCAGGCACCTGAGCTATTCACACCCATCCCACAGAAAGACAGTGCTCCTCCTCCTCCCCACGCCCAATCTAAAGCCATGTGTGGGCAACACAAGAGGCAAAGGCAGCTTTGCTGTGACTTGTGTCCACATGATGTGTTACACAAAGCATTACCACTGCTTCTGTGAAGCACATGCACACCTTTCTTCAGTGCACGCCAAGGAAACACAGTGAGTGCCCTCCCTATGCATGACAGCCCAGCCACCTGTCCTCTTTATCTCATCTCTCACTTTGCTCTTAGTTCAGCATTTCTCAATTTAGCATCCTGATGATATTATAGCTCTGATGCGTATTCCAACCTGTGCTTTTCCCCCAGGCAGAACTGTCCCTTTCATTGGGGAACTGTAAATGTTGTGTGGCTGTTCATCATGATGAACAATTGAAGGTCCAGAGCAGTGTTTCCAAGTACTTCTCAAGGCAATCCTGTTTTTCTGGCAAATGTGCCAAATAAACAGATGTGTCTGTATTAACAGTGTGGGGCTTTTGTACTTCTTAACCTTGTATTATTGCCTTAAAAGTATCCTGACAGTGCAGATGAAACTCGTTCCTTTCCAATGGCTGGTGAGTGTGACACTGTGACTTGTGGAATGGGATGGTGGCCACTGTGTCTCAAAGCTCAATCCCACAGTTCATGCAAACGTGTCATGGTTGCTGATGTCTGCTGACACTCCCAGTGTGGGCAGGGGGCTGGAAGCCAGCCTTTATTTTGGGTAAGCCAGTGAGACATAGTTCAGCAAGCAGCTTTGCCTTGCTTGACAGGACATCAGTGTCTGGAGGTGACACAGTGTGCCCAAAGTGTCCCTACAAAGGCACCTACTGCCCAGACTGAATGCCCTTACTGCTTGAGCTTTCTTGAGGCAGAGGTCATTCTTAGCTGGAATGATCTCAAAGCAGAAATATGCAATGTGCTTTCTGACACCCCTCTGTGAGGAGAGAGTCGGGGCTGTTTTTTTAGTTTGCTTTTCCAACTTAAGCTCTGAAGGCTTAGCAGGATGGAGCAAAGGTTGGGAAGTATCAGCACTCAGTGTGTGCCTGGACAGCCCTGTCCCCGCTGACCAGAAAAGCTCTAGGAACAGCCCATGTACGTATGTCATATGGTCTCAGAGAGCAAGCCTTCAGAAAATTGAGATTGGTTACCCTCTGTATAAAATCAGAGGTTGAAACTATGGAAGAGTTGTCAGTGTCAGCAGTGCAGGGATAATGTTTATTAAAGAAATCACAAACAGCTCAAACCCTTCTAGCTCCAGAAACTCCTTTTATCTGGAGTCACTGGTGCCACTCTGAGGATTAAAACAGGAGGCTCAAACTAGGAATGGTTTCTAGGCTGTTTCCTGAAGCACAAAGTGAAGCTGTGAAGATAACAGTTTTGTGAAAGTTTGTGAATCATCTGCATTTGCATTGAAGGGTGCAGTGCAATTCCCTTGGTTATCTGCATTCTTAATAATCCATTGCAAAACTTCTTGCTATGTTCCTGGTTGAGGAACATCAGGGTTCTGTGAATGTATTTGTTTAGAAGCTGCCTGAGCGTCTGCACCAATGCTTGGAAACATCTCATCTAAATCTACAGAAAAGGAAATCCAGGCATGTAGCAATGCAAGCCCCAGTATTGTGACCTGTCTTTACATCACACAACCACTTGTGCTGTGTTGCACATTGCTTATCCAAGCTCCCCTCCTGTCAGGAGTTATTTCTGTTCAGTGATCTGAGAATGGAGCCCAGGAGCTGTATGTACTCCCAGTCTTAGCACACAGCCACGTGAGCCTTGTTCCTGGGTCTGTGCTTTGTGATGGTGAGCAGAGACCATCATCTCTATGCAAACAGGAGCCACAAAGCCCTCCTTGGGGCTGTTCAGCAGATTTAGAGTTGCTCAGTGCTTTCTGAGAAATGGTAGCTTACCCTGATGAGTCCCTAACGCTCAGCTCCTCTTTCAGTGTGCACGTGTTGCTCAGTATGCCGACTCCTCAGAGGTGAGTGCTGGATTTCCTGCACCCTGATATCCACGCATACTTTTTGGGCATGGCTGTGTTCCCCAGCCTGGCTTGCTCCTGCTGCTCTTACTCACCAGGTTTCCTAACACCAGGGGAACAAGCAAGGGGACAGCCAGGCTACGAGTGGGTTTGTGAGCCGCGCTGTGTGCTGATGGCAAGTTTTGCAGTGCTGCTCACCTTACTGACCCAAGGCTGGAGAGTTTATCTCTGGAGAAAAACCTCAGTCCTTTCTCTTATAGAGGATGCATTTTGTCCCAGTGGCTGATGAAAGGAGCGGGAGGCCTCAGGTTTGGGTATGCCAGAGGATGCAGCTGCCAAACCCTTTGTTTAGGGAGGAAGAAGAAATCCAGACGGGCAGTGTCTCGTGTTAGTGGGAGCTGACTTTCGTAATTCCTATACACCTCATCTCATGTGCTTTCTGTTTATTTTGTATACTGCAAACAGCCCTAAGGGCTTTGCAGCAGAGGCACTCAGGATCGCAGTGCTGCCACCGTACTGCAGCCACTGCTGTGAAAACACAGCTGGCTCATGTCACCTCCAGAGCAGCCAGGCGTGCAGCATTAAAGCCTGGAGGCTGGAGCTCCCAGCCTGACCCTCTGTCTCCTTGCACATTATGTTGGTGGCAAACCAAACTTCACACACTTGCTTTGTCACCCTCCCTGTTGTGCTGTTGGGGTTGGAACTAGATGATTTACGGTCCCTTCCAACCCAAGCCATACAATGATCCTATGGTTCTATGATTCTTTTCTAGCTCTTTGCACTTTCACATTTGGGGTGAGCATGCTGCTGTGCAGGAAAATGAAGCTTCCTTCTAGTGGTATCTATTTAAGTAGTCATTAACTCCTTGTATTCACAGTGCATTTTATTAGCACCCTTCTAATTTTAGCCTAAACTAATTTTATGGATTTGACTTTTCACTGTTATTTATAAAATATTCATTGAATCCTGAAGTGCTAAGTAGGCATGAATTAAACCTGGGGAGGTCCTTTAATGATGCTACCACAGTAGTCAAACCAATGTGTTACAAATTGGGCCCAAATTTGTGTACACTTTGCTATTGCTTTATTTTGCTGTTTTTTTTCCTTAACCCAGTTGCTCTGACTGTGTCAGCTGCAATATGCTGCATCTCAGAGGAAGTTCCTTCTGCCCCCACGGGCTGCCCTTTCTCTGTCTCCAAGGCAGTGCATGCATTAATGCACTTGCAGACAATGGTGTGCCCTTTACATGCTCCTTACTAAGTGCAGCTTTGGGATCTTGGAGGGCAGGGCCCTGACTATGTAACATGAATGTTTTTTTCCTCGAAGCTGCAAAGAAGGAAACAAAGTTTGCTTAACTAGACTAAATTGTTCCAATCTATTGGCACTGATCTTTCTTTCATACCAACTTCTGTGAAGCCAGTTGCAGGATACAAATATTAGAAGTACTCAGTCCTGAAGAGGTTATAATCTAAAAGGGCAGATATTCAAGCCTAACCTCAAGCAGGATATTAAAGGCTGCCTCAGAGCCTTGATGAGGCCTTTGTGGCAGGAGCAGTTGCCTTAATGTTTTTGCAGGTGAAACTCAAATGTCTCCCTTAAAACCCCACAGCTCTTAGGAGAGCACAGGCTGGTGGGAGCAAAAAGCTGCCCTCCCAGCTCCCTGGGCAATATCCTGAAGGAGGCAGTGGACGCAGACAAATTAATTTGGGCCAAACTGCAGGGGGTTCATGAAGATGCAGTCTCCTTGTGCCATGGAATGGGCATCTGTACAGAGGCTGAAGGCTACAGTGAGTTCAGTATGATGCACAGAAGCAAATCATAGAACCATTTCAGTTGGAAGGGGCTTTTAAAGCTTATCTAGTCCAACTCCCCTGCAATTAACAGGGGCACCTACAGGTCCATCAGGAGCTCAGAACCACCATCCAGCCTGACCTTGAGTGTCTCTAGGGACAGGGCATGCACCACCATTCCAGGCAACCTGTGCCAGTGCCTCATCACCCTTATTGTCAAAAAACTGTGATCTGTGCTCACAGAACTCTCCCAGGTCTTTACTCAAGTTTCTGACATCTCTTCTCTGTTCAAGGCTGTTCACCCTGAGGATGACAATGGAACAGTGATACAATTACATAAGTGTTCTTTTTCCCTTTTGGGAAGGACAAAGGGAAAACCTTCAGGGATTTGTTTGTCTCTTGGCAGTGCCCAGTAAATGCTTAACTGCTGCTCAGTGCTAAACAAGCTTGTCTGGGACTTGCATTTAAGAAATAACTTCTGTGCTCAGTGCTGTTATCTCAGTTAACATCTCTTAGGTGCTGTTGCAAAGACTGTGTGGCATGGCTGAAAGAGAGGAGCAGTTTTAGACTTTGCAGAGAATAAATATATCTCAAAGATGTTTAAAATTTGTTGTGTATCACAAAAAATATTATGGCTACACATATCTGAGGGGAAGTTTAATAATAATTTCAGGCAGTGTAAGAAATGTATAAGGACATTAGAGACAAATGAGACTGGTTTGTGAATGTGCACTTATGTGACTGATACAGTGATGTGCGCCTTTAAAACTACAGCTCAGCAGTGACTGATGGGCAGCTTAGCCGAGGCGTTCGGTCAGCCATGCACAAGATGTTGCAGCACAAAGCCTCTAGGAGCATTACTTTATTAGAGCTTTTCTAATAAAATAATGTTGGGCCCTTTCCCACACGTGGCTGTCACCCTGAAGACAAGCTGACAGATCACACGAGCAGCAGAGAGCTCAGCGAAGACCTTCATGGGGTGCTCATGTAGCTGTGTTTTAAATCACCCTCCTGGTATATTAGATGTATCCAACTCCTTTGTGGTATGCTGCAAATCACACGTGAGATTCTTTTAGCAGAAAGTTCTTAACAATGAATTGACTTTTCACCAAGGAAGCTGTTCATACATCCCTGAACAAAACAATTAAATGGTCTAGGTGACCATTTTGCTTGTAGCCAGTTTTGCTGCTATCTCTTGTGCTAGGGATTTACACACTTCTTTACCTTTTTCTCATTGAGCTCAAAGACCAGACAACCAGTTTCTGTTGCTGTAAGCATTTTATTCCTTAAAACTTTCCTTCTAAATGCTGAATCGTATTTTTATGGGCATTATTTGCATCACTTTCCAGCAGTGCCTCTGAATGGCAACTTGGGAGTTTTTAATATTTATTTTAGTAATGTCAGGGAAGGAAAAATTTTCATAGCAAATCAGTAGGTTAAGTACATTTAAGTACATTTAAGTACATTTCCACTTCAGCAACAAAGTTCAAACATTCATTGTTGTTTAATAAACTCCAGTTCAACCACAGATGTTCTGAAAGCAAAGATGAGAATTTCTGTGCTCTGAAACAATGTTCCTTCCCCTTCTACATCCAAATGTTTTCCCCTAACAGTTTATTCTTTCCTTTTCTCTATGTAAATATTATGGGACTCTGATGTAAGTGTTAAAGATTGCATGAGTTTTCTTCTGAGGTGTTTGGAATAGACTAGCACTTAACAACTTAATCACTTGTGGGATGTGTTTTCATTAACCAGTGACTTTGTTGATGATGTGAATAGACTTGTTTGCTTTGGTTGCACTTGACTTCAGCTTTGGAAAGACAAGCCTCTGTCTGCCTCTGTTTTGTGGCCCCTGGGCAGCGTTTGCTGGTAGATTGGCTGCTTCTAACTTCTTGGTTTGGCAATGAAAACTGTTGGACAAGTACATGAGTTGGATCAATGTGTTCTGGAAATGATGGCAAATTTGTCTCTGTTGCAGGGAAAAGAAGCTGATCACCATCATATAATAAATATCTGCTCTCTTGCTCATATGAAGTGCTGTGCAAAACTCCTTATATGAAGGATCCCCCAGAAAAGCTTAGCTCTGGAGTGACTTCATGTTCCATTACAATAATATAACACCTTGTTCCTGGCTGTGTAGTCTGTGACTGTGGTTTGTTATATAGTTCCTGAGGAATTACAGTGACAGAAGAAAGAAGTGTTGCCTGGAAAAATAAGGGTGGGGGAGGTCCAGCTTCTCTAAGGTATTGGGGTGCTCAATTCCCCTGTAACTGTATTTAAGTATCCAAGTATTTCTGAGAGTCTGCATCCAAGTTCTTTGCTCATCTGTAGTTAGTGGGCAAAGTCCTGACCTCTGTTACACTTATGTAAACTCATAGGTCTGGACAGTGAAAAGACGTTTCTACAAGAAGTAGCAGCAGCTTGAGCCTAGGACATGAGCATTTTTCCCATTTCTGCAGTAATTCTACCCCTCTGTACAAAGATGTGTAGGCAAAAACGTAACAGGTGAAAACACCCAAAAAGTGCCCTGCTCTGAGATGGAGAGTGAGAGCCTCCTGAAGGTGAGAGAGCCAGGGGGCAGACCTGGATTTACATGGCCCCTGGATTCACACAACCCCTCCTGGCTATGAACCAGTCCCAGGGCCCATCAGCTGCTTCCCTGGAGCAGCACACACTGCTGGCTCTGCCACTCTGGGGACATATGATAGTGCCCTAAGGCCCTGATGCCTCTTAGAAACATACAGGAGGTGACTTGAGGCCAAGCACTGTCCTTGAGAAGCCAGCCCCAACTGTGTTTTGCTCTTTGGTGTGCCCCTTCTCCAGGAGCAAACCTTGGTGTCCCTGAACCCATCTGTTCCCTTTAAGCTTCCATCTCCCTTCCCAGTAGTTCCTCACATCTGCCAGTTATTCTGGTTAATTCCCTGCTTTAGTCCTATTTTCTGCACCTGCAGAGAACCCACTCTGTTGGTGTAGGAAAAGTTAGGTTTTATCTTGTCATTGCGTGGTTCACCAAAAAAATGACCTCATAGTTGGTGCTCATTCAGCCCTTTTGAGGTGAGTTGCTTCTGTGATTCTGGGCTCACAGCAGTGCAGTGTTCCACAACAACCATGGGACAAAGCCTGGCACTCCAGGTGGATATGAGGTTGGCATTGCCCACAGTGTAGATGTCTGAATCAGGATGGGCAGGCAATCCTCCCTTCTCACTCCAGACCTTATAGGATGTCTGTACTCAAGGTTTGTTCTCATTAATGCTCAGAAATATACTGTGACAGCCTAGGCTGGACACGTGTATTCCCTTTTCCAGGACAGTGAGGCTGAAGTGAAACTGGTTCCCGTTTGGCTGGGTTTTGGTCTTCAAAACCTTTGGCCCAGTCTTCAAAGCAGCAGCTCTGGGGCAGGGACACCATACTCAGGCTGCTGGGGAGAGTGGGAGGCTTCCAGAAGTGTTGGGCTTCTGCTCTGCTGCCTGTGGAGATATAAAACATGGGTGGCAGTGCTGCCTGAACATCTCTTTCATCCAGCACCCAATTCAAGAGAGAATAACAATGGAGAAAGCAACGTCAGCTGGAAAAGTTTGGGAGTCCCAGGAGTGTTATCAGCTCACACTTCCTTCTGTCTTCTTTTGCAGTGGACAGCAGGACAAAGGCCACAGAGCACGTTTGCCTGATCCTGTATGTTCTTAACGTCTCACTGCATCTCCACAGTGAATGCTCACCTTCTAGTTTTCCATCACCCCTCTGGCATGTCCCCTTCATGTCTTCTTTGCTCCAGGGAAAGCTCTTGGCTCCCCACAGCAGCACAGAGCTGAGGGGTGTCGGTAGGCCTCCACACAAACCTCAGGGATGCAGTTTCAAGAAGTCCTGACCCAGTTTAACTAACTGGAAACAAACTACCTGATGTCCAGCCTGCAACCCAAATCTGAGGGACCTCTGGGGAATAGGCATGTTGACAATGCCTCCCAATGACAGCTGGGAGCAGTCATGTGAATTGTTGTCAGGGGAGCATTCGGTCTACAGGCTGTGCTTGGGTCAGGCTGTGCTCTAACACTAAACAAGCAGCTTTTAATGCAAGCTTGACTCCATTTCTCCTTGGTTTAGAGGGCCACCACAGAGCTCCTGCACCCAAGATGACCTCAGCTAGGCGTCTCCTGGATATCTCACTTCTCAAGTGGAAAGATAAAGTTGTGATTAAAATGAAATCTCCCTAGACTGATTTTGCCAAGTGCTGTAAAGAACATTTAATATTCTCTTTACAGTGTAGTCTTAGCACCACAGTCACGTATAGGAAAAAAACAATAGTTCAGCATTACTCCAGGCCTCTCTGGAATGTGACTGTCAGCTTTTTCAGCACAGCTGGGAAGAAGTCAATTTCCAGCTCTTCCTGAAAACCTGTGACAGTGTGTTTCAGCCTGCCCCTGTGAGTGGTGGCAAAGGGAAGAGACACAGGGTTAGCAGCCAGAGGACAGTGTGCAGCGTACCTGAGCTTGTCTCACAGTGTTCAGCTGCCAACATGAATTGGGCACTGGAGAGAGCCCTGGTGACCTGCCTGTGGCTGGTTTTGCTGTAGCCAAATCACTTGCCCTTTGTGTTTCCATTTGCCAACTGAGAACTGTTTGGGAATCTAGTTTTGGAGATTTATTTTGTGTGTGCTTTAAGGATCTAAATGGATTAATAATGGTCAGATATTGAAGAATCCTCTTTCTGTAGTGTTTGGCCCAGCAGAGCGTTACAGTCAGGCTCAGAGAAAGTGTAGAATTTATTTAAAGTTATTTCTATGTGTGTTTATAGAACAGCCCAAGTAGAGTCAGTAATTGTAATCTAAGCACTCAACACTTCAACTCCTGTTTTCCACACGTGTTTTAGAATGAAAAAAAGCATAACTGTCAGTTAAACTAAGAAAGATCCAGCCCTGCTGATAAGAAACTCTGCAGAAACACAGGGACCTTAGTCACCTGGGTGTCCCTTCTATAGCTCTTGCTTTGGACTGGCTATTGAAAATACCATCTTGTTTCACCATCTGAGTTTGAAGCAGCAAATGAATGGTGGTGTGCAACATGACCGGTCCCATGAAGATTGTGTCATAAATCACAAGAGCAGAAGCCACCAAGCAGCCATTAGTGATGTACAGTCACGGACTCCTGTTCTGCCTTCGGTGGCGTTAACAGTCTGTAAGACTTACTCTAGCATGACAGAGGAAGAATTTTCCCCACTCTGGTCTCACAGCACACCCCTACTGGGAGTCCCTTCAATGCCTGCTGAGGTTTTTGTTTCACTTCACTGGATCTTGGGCTGGGCTCTTGGCTTGGGCTCTCTCAGCTTCAAGTCAGTACTTCAAGTCATGCTTCATTTCCCAGGAAACTGTCTCCATACTGTCCACAGGGCTTGAGCACTCACTGGGTGCTTTCCAGAGGACACTCTTACGTGTGGTAGATGTAGAAACTGTGGGTATAATTAGCAATCCAAGAAATCAGCTGTTTAATTTATCCCTGAGCCTAACAGCAAACAAAAATATTTCTAGAGAGAACTTCCAGAACACCAGGATGTGAATTTAGTGTAAATTCTGCATAGAATAATCCAAGAGCTTACAATGGCTTTGCAACCAAGGTCCTTTTCATTTCTAACCCAACAGTTGCTATTAGTGGAGAGTGGAATGTGAAGTGTGAACCTTCTGTCTGTTAATCCCTGGAAAATGCATGGGTTTGCAGTGAAGTGGAGCTTGGTGGAATGTGAATCAAATCACTGATCTTCCTCATCCTTTGTCTTTATATTTAGACCACAAATGGCCACGTTAAATAGATGTGAACGATAAATATGAAAAGCCACTTGAGGCAAACTGTGAAACGAAAGACTCTGTGTTCTCAGATGATGAAGAGAACGATTTATTGGATAGTGCATCCATGAACAAAAGGCCTAAAAAGAAGGATCAACCCCTTGAGGTACTTTCATACTGTCGAGGTTCCTCCTTCTGTTACATTCTTTGAGTATTTGAGTGAACACCTCTTTGGCCTAACAGGACTGAATCCAAAAGCAGCACTTTTCTGGTCTTTCAGGGGTGGGTCTTGTTATGAGAACACTCAGTTTCCTACACATGTGGTTTCCCTGATAGAAATTCGAATCTGTGCCTGTGGAAATAATAATTGCACAGAGCTTCAGAGTTGGATTTTGAGTTGCAAAACTTGGATCTAGCTCTAAACCACATGCTAATGTGGAGGTATTTCAATGAGAGGATTTGGATATCAACCACGGGCTAATTTTTCCTGTCTGTAGCAGAAAATGTATTTTCTTTCCTGAGGCAGAGTGTCTGTGGGGAGAACAGCCAGCACCCATAGCCAGAGAGTTCTGAGCTCAAACCCTCGTGCACCTGGCCAAACCACACCAACACCAGCAGTGGTTCTACTGCTGACTCCATGATTTCAGTAGGTTTTGAATCACCGTATTAAGAACTGTGATTTAATTTGCTACACAAAAACAAAACAAAACAAAACTAATGGAGATGCAGATCTCACACTGCCCTTTGACAAAAGCAATTTTAGCAACATTCTGTTACGGAGGAAATACAACCAACCTCTGCATGAGATGCTGTAGGCAAGGAATCCTTGCAGATCTGGGCAGTGGGGGACAGAGCCACGTCTAGCAGCTCAAATGTAGCTCTCAGATTGCAGCCAGCAGGACTCCACCCTGGGGTAGCTGGGTTTGTTTCTCTTTCCCTAAGCCAGTATGGGAGAGCAGGAGTGGTGTGGTTGTGGTGTGGCTAATAGTTATCCACGTCCTTCCAGTGGGCTGTTGTAGCTCTGGTGGCTCTCAGCAAAAGCTTGCTGTGGTTAGGTGCAGTCTCTGTAGCTACTCTATACAAGAGCTGCTAAGTGGCCTTCCAAGGAGCTATTCATTCCTGATTTCAAGTGTTTACTGAGCAGTTGATGGGTGCTTTAAGAGTGGTCTAGCTTCTCAGGGAGCAGCCTCTCTCAAGCAATACTTACTGCTCAGGTTGTCAGGCTGTGTTGCAGAGCTCCTGGCTTACAGATAGCAGCTCTAAGCCAGCAACTTGGGAGTCTGAGTGGATCTATGGATCTGGGCAGGATTCCTCACTGCTATACACAGCAGCTTTTTTCCTCCTGTCAGCTCATGGCTTAGGCAGATGTGCTCTTCACTGGGTAAAAAAAAGGCTGGTGGAATGGGCCCACAGAGTGGTGATGAGTGGAGTTAAATCCAGCTGGTGACCGATCACCACAGCCCTGTTGAATATCTTTATTTATTTATACTGGACAAGAAGATTGACTGCACCCACAGTAAGTTTGCAGACGACACCAAGATGGGAGGAAGTGTTGATCTGCCTGAGGGTTGGAAAATCTTACAGAGGGACTTTGATAGGCTGGATAGCTGGGCTGAGGCCAGTTGTAAGAGGTTCAACAAGACCAAGTGCTGGGTTCTCTGCTTTGGTCACAATAACCCCATGCAGTGCTACAGGCTTAGGGCAGAGTGGCTGGAAGGCTGCATAGAGGAAAAGCACCTTGGGATGTTAGTTGATAGCATCTGAACATGAGCCAGCAGTGTGCCCAAGTGGCAAAGAAGGCCAATGTATCAGAAGGCTTGTATCAGGAATAGTGTTGCCAGCACAAGGAGGAAAGCGATCATCCCTCTGTGCTGAGAACTGATAAGGCTGTATCAGGTGCTGTGATCAGTGTTGGGCCCCTCACTAAAGAAAGACAGGGAGGCCCTGGAGCGTGTCCAGAGAAGTGCAATAAACAAGTATTATATAAACAAGTCTTATGGGGAGCAGCTGAGGGAGCTGGATGGTTCAGTCTGGAGAAGAGCAGACACAGGGGAGACCTTACTGCTCTCTGCAACTCCCTGAAAGGACATTGTGGTGTAGTGAGGGTTGGCCTTTTCTCCCACGTTAACAGTGATAAGGCAAGAGAGAATGGTCTCAAGTTGCATCAAGGGAGGTTCAGGTTGGATGTTAAGAAAAATTTCTTCTCCCAAAGAGTGGTGATGCATTGGCACAGGCTGCCCAGGGAGGTGGTGGAGTCACTGTCCATGGAGCTGTTCAGAGAACTGTGCAGATGTGGCATTGAGGGACACGGTTAGTGGCATGGTGGGGTGGGTTGGTGGTTGGACTGGATGATCTAAGAAGTCTTTTCCAACTTTAATGGTTCTGAGATTGTCTGTTAGCCGTGCCTTTCTGGATGCAGCCATCTTACCCTGATTGTTTGTGCTTCTGGGGACTCAGAGTGGGGTAAAAGATCAGACTTGGAAGCAGGGTGGAATCTGAACACAGCCTTGGTGTGATCTTGTTCCCTATCTGTATGAATATTTATACCTTTTGTATCACAAGAATGTGGAAATACAGCATGGTCTTGGATTGGACAGTCCTATAAAATATAAATGACTAGGACTTCTTTTACAAATGGTAAGACCCTGTCTTGGTCTTCCAGGTAAATAGGTTTATGCTGTTAATGAAAACAAAGCTTGAATTTTCCTGAAAATGAAGTAGAAGAGCTTAACAGCCCTTGCAATGTTATCTACTATGCTTTGCTAGGTTTCCACATAGAGATTTTGTGCTCCCTTGCAACATGTGGTAACCACTTCTTGTTGTGAATCTGATGAGCCCCAGTGCCATACCAAAGCTCTGCAGAGTGAATTATGCAGTGCAGATGAGGTTGGTGGGGTTTTTTTTGTTTATTTGTTTTGTTGGCCTTGCTAGGTCATTTCTGTCTCAGTCAGTTCAGTCTGGAGAGTGGAGCTAATCAGAGTAAACCAATCGTGGAATTGACCTGGCTCCTCTTGGGCGTTCCATGGTTCTCCTGGGCAGATTTGCCTGGGGGTCTATGGAAAGAGAAATGTATGGGAGTTCCATACATTTCCATGCTTAAGGGCTCCTTTTCAAAGCTGTCCTCATCAGCTGGCTGCAAGGCGGAATTCCAGTAGTCCTCATCTGAAATCATTTCAACAAATTCTACCCAGTCTCTCAAGCAAGAGCCCAGCGTGTTTCACACTGGTGACCCCTTCTGCTCTGGGATGCCCCAAGGTGTTCACAACTGGGCTGGATCCTGCAAGGTGGCTGGGAAACAGCAGTGGGCTTCCTGCCACCAGTTTGCTGTCTTGAGCTGATGGCCAATGCGAATTGCACCAATTTCTCCTGTCTGCTTTGACCTTCGTGTTACTGGCAGTATTTGGCCATGCCCTCAGCTAAGGACAGAGTGGTAGGTGGTGTAACCTAGGTAAGGGCCTATAATGGTTCTCTTCAAGGAGTTTATCCTCAACTGATCCTTCATTAACAATCTTGAGGGCCAAAATGGGCTTCTCTTTTTCTTCATGCCAGAGACGGGATCACTGCTACAAAAGTGCCACAGAGGTGAGTTTTAAGGAAAGAAGGAAAGAATTTCCTATGAACTAATGGAGTTTTCTCTTGCTTTTCTGCAGGCACCGCCTAGGACCCTTAGACCTCGCATCAGGAAGAAAAGTACCTCGTCCTCTGCCACTGAAACAATGTGAGTGCAATGAGCCAATAGCACCAAGATCCACAGAATGTCTCTCTTCTGCCTTAAGGAGCTACTCGTTCATAATGTAGGAAGCAGCAGTGGGATGGATGTGCTTTGATGTGCAGCGTTGCAGACATGGCCTCCCTCGCTCCTGTCTCTGTTCCCCGTTCCACGCTTCTCGCGTCTCTCAGCAGCAGTTAGGGCAGTGTGACAGACACCTGCAGATGAAGAGTTCTTGTTTTGTTTGCAGTGTTCCCCCACTCACGCTCGTCCTTAAGGCTGTACATTGACAGTTCTCATTGTGTCTGCATAGCTCAGCTCTGTGAATGCACAGCAACAACAAAAGTCATCAGTTGCTCGTGATGATACTCGACAGTGTATTTATTTATCATTAAGGAAGTGGATTTGCAGAAGCCATGGATTTCTCTTCCCTCTCTTCCTCCTCAAGCCTGTGAATGATGTAACAAATGCCTGAGTGCTTTAGCTGTTTGAAAATGTCCAAGAGTCATTAGGAAAAGCTGAGCTGTCAAGCTGTTTCTGCGAGTGGATCAAATGTATTCTGATTAAATCATTGTGCTAAAAAGACACAGAGACAGAACTTAGGATGAGGAAGAGATGTGCAAGAGAAAATGATTGGTTTCAACAATGTAATGAAGGGGGAGTCTTAATTTTGATCATCCTGAGCCAGGAGAATATTGTGTGGAAAATGATGGCGGCTACAAAACTGGATCGTATCGCTTGCGGCAAGTGTTCTACTGGCAGTTCTGGAGCACGAGCAAGGCAGTCGTGTAGTAGCTGCAGCAGCACATTAGAATTGCTTTAGTAACTCGCTTCCAGGGGAAAATGAACTGTTCTCCCCTAACAGTGCCAGTCCCAGCGTTCTGCTTTCCTGGTGTGGTGCTGGAGTTTTCCTTCCACGAGCAGAGCAGGACGCTGGAGCTCAGCTGCTTTTTGAAGCCTGGAGTTTTGCCTGTAGCATGGAGTTTGGTTAGAACCACGAGAACCAGGTGGAGTGTTGTATTTGTATCCATATATAACGAGAAATATAAAAGAAGAGGAAGATGTTGTAGGGTTTGTGTATTTGTGCTTCAAGTTGGTGTCTCTTGTAAGTGTTAAGCATGTGAAATTCACACAGAAGTTAATTACGTGGCCCTTTGTGTTTGCTCTTGGACCTGTGTCATAGAGTAGGAAAGCATTTAGCTTTACATGCATGGAACGTGCCCTCACTGATGATGCCGGGCCGCAACCCGAGAAGCACGATTAACCTGAGGTGCAGCAGCTTGGGATGCCAGTGGCCGGTTGGAGTGTATCAGGCTCAGAGATAAATCTGAAGTGGCCTTTAAAACCTTTTCTCTGCCAGATATGCATCAGCAGCCTCGCTGTCCCTGCCTGATGCATCCTCGAGGTCTCCCCAGAGCTTCCAGTGCATGTGGGGAAGAGAGAAATAACCCTGCGCACACACTGCTGTTTGTCCGACCTGGCTAGGAAGTGGAAAAAGCAAGCAGGTATTTCCTGAGTCTGCCACCATGTTTGGCCCCATTATCTGAGAGCTGTGTTTCCTTTACACGTGCTAATTCAGTTGTGTTTTCCAATGGGTAAGAAGGAAGAAGCCTTCAGAAAATACACTGAAAAGAAGCAAACATAAATAGCAGAGAGTCAGTCCTTGTAAGATACTCAGCAAATGCTTGGAGGAGCTAAGCTTGTGTGTTTTATTTTGAAGCAGCTTTAAAGTTTGTTTGATTCATTTTGGCAAACATTAAAAAGAAATAGCAAAACTGCCTGCAGAGTTAGCAGAAATGAGATCCTGTTGCAAGCAAGCCGTGTTTCCCTGCTATGCAATAGGTTGCCATAAGAGAAAAAGCTGACAAGTTTGCACTCAATTATGCCAAAAAACCCCACGAAACATAGAGCCACATAACAGCTGATAAATTTTATTCTCAGACATGCTGTATGAACATTGATTCTCACTAAAATTATTAAATGTGTCTAATCTGCTGTTTTACTTCAACTTGACTGTTTGGATTTTCTTAAGTGCTGAGGTGAAATTGTTGACAAGGGAGTTGCCTTATATCTCTCCAAACATTCATTGTATAAATGAGGAAAATAAACCTTTTCATATCTCTGGCAGAAATGTATTAATTTATCAACGGAGCTGTATATCTGTGTATAGATAGACAAGAAATGTGAATGCTGACCCACGTCCACTTTGTGCTGTTGTGTTCTGCGTACGGAAGAGAACGGTCATTTGCTTTTGATTCCTCGTTTTCCACACACAGGTTGTTTACAGGTGTTGCCCCCATTCTGTCATTTCACCCTGCGGCTATTTGCATTTATTTAAAATAAACATCAGACGTGAAGTCTTTTGTTGCAGTTTTTCTCTGCCACGGGAACGAGGTGATTCAGCAAGCCGCCTTCCTGCACTGATGCTGACCCCTCGTGGCAAAGGATTTGCAGAACGTGAGCACGGGGCTCACAGATGGCGGCTTTGATGCGCGTAGGGGTGGGAAGCGCTTCTTCTCTTCCTCCCGGCTCAGGCTCAGGGCTGCAGCCCTGCTAACAGCTTGCAGATTGCTTCTCCTAAAAGCAAGCCAATGGTTTCAAATAGCTTCAAGATCTGGGATTCCCCAGCTTAAGAGAAGTATGGATACAGGGGCCTGTCAGGCAGCTGGCTCCACCAGCAGTCCTGCAGGGCTGGCAGACACCTGACTTAGCAGAGATGGGCTGGAGAATGTAACCCTGAAGAGAATAGAATGGAATAGCTCAGTTGGAAGGGACCCACAGGTACCATCGAGTCCAACTGCCTGACCTCTGCAGGGCTGACCAAAAGTTAACGCGTGGCATTGAGAGCATCATCCAAACGGCTCTTGAATGCTGGCAGGCTTGGGGTATCAGCCAGCCCTTGAAGAAGCTTGTTCCTTTATCTGACTTCTCATGGTACAGAAATGTTTCCCAGTGCCCGGCCCTGGCGTAGCTCTGTGCCATTCCCCTTCTGCCACCAGTTCCCAGGAAGGAGCAGAGCCCAGCACCTCGCTGTTTCCCCTCCCCAGGGTGCTGCAGGGAGCACTGAGGTCACTTCTCAGACTCTTGTCTCCAGGCTGGAACCCCCCAGTGCCCTCAGCCTCCTCACAGGATGCACCTCCAGCCCTGCTACCAGCTTTGGTGCCTCGTCTGAATGCTTCCAAGAACCTTAACATCCTTTCTGTGCTGTGCAGCCCAGAACTGCAAGCAATATTCAAGATGAGGCTGCACCAAAGCTAAATACAGGGGAGAATCACCTCTTGACCTGCTGGCTGTGTTCTGTTTAATGCATCCCAAAATACATTCAGCTCTTGGCTGCACACTGCTGGCTTGTGCTGAGCCTGCTTCAAATAGGTCAGCCCTAGAAAATAGGGCTTTTAACCAGCACAAGGAGCATGCGTTACTTTAAGTTGATGCTGAAAGGAAGGAAACTGCATCTGAAGATGATCTGTGGTAAATGAGTCTGTAAGTTCACCAAGTGCACCATAAACACACCTCAGTTGTGAACACAGTAAGTTCAGAGCAGCTCAGTGCAGTCCCCGTGCCTTCATTCTTGCTGTTGTGGCCAGTGTCAGTGCAGATAGTGCTCAGCGATTGCTGAATCAGGATCACATCAGCTAGAAGGACTTCATGTACCACCACCAATCATTGCAATAACCCCACACTGATCTAAATTGTGTAAGTGCAAACCCAGCACAGACAGAAAAGGAAAATCAGGCTATTTACTCTTAATGAGAAGGAGAAAGCTGCTTGGAGAGATCCACCACCCCTAGCCTCATGTAAACAACCTGCTGCCTCTGACTGCTCTGCAGTGCTCTCGTGTAGCAACGAAACCCCCATACTTGTGACAGTGCTCGTTAATACAGCCGCCTTCTGGTTCGCTTTGGGTACCTGTATGCACCTCGCGCTGCATTTGAAATAGCAGAGAACACCGTGTTGGGAGTTGTGTTACACAGACCACGTAAGGATCATCACTGGGCACCTCGTGATTCCTTCCCTGTGATCAGCAGAAGAGACGCGATGAAATAAACGGTAGATGTGATGTCTCACTAGAATGACAACAGCATTCCAGAGGTGGATGTTTTGCTGGTTTTGTTATACTGCTTGATGTGTATCTTGAATAAAGTCTTAATCTTTTCTTTAAGAAAAATCAAAACAACTTCAGTCTGTTCAATGTATCTGGCAGGCCAGAATCATTCCTTTGACCGCTGTATGATTTTTACTCTCACTTTTGGCTGACTGTATATAGATGTACTCAGTGCTGCATGTCCTTCACAACTTTTCTGTATGATGAACTGGAAAAAATACAGCTGCTGAACACTCTGAGTAACCAGTGAATTCATTGATGCACGACAGCCGTGTGCAGCAAACCATCTCTTACTATTGCAGATGGCTCGGGAGCTGATAAACAGGGACTGCCTAATTAATAATGGGCTCATTTCTAGTGGATGTGTTCAAACTGCTGCTGAAAGCAACTGCTTTTCACATACTTAAGCCACTGATTTTGTGAGAAACCCTCTACCCTGGCCCTTTGAAAGTGAAAGCAGACCAGTTACACTGCAGTTTACACTGCAAAAGGACCCTATGATAAATCCTTGGCCTTGTTTCACCTGTGCACACAAACTGAGATGTACAGCATGTAAAGAACAAGAGAATGTTAAAACTGACTGCTTGAGACCGCATTGTGGCCTTTCGATATTTGAAGGGAAGAGTATAAATAGGAGGGGTACAACTGTTTATGAGGGTGGATGGCGATAGGGCAAGGGGGAATGGTTTTAAACTGAGACAGGGGAGGTTTAGGTCAGATATTAGGAGGAAGTTTTTCACACAGAGGGTGGTGATGCACTGGGACAGGTTGCCCAAGGAGGCTGTGGATGCCCCATCCCTGCAGGCATCCAAGGCCAGGCTGGATGTGGCTCTGGGCAGCCTGGTCTGCTGGTTGGTGACCCTGCACACAGCAGGGGGTTGGAACTGGGTGATCATTGTGGTCCTTTTCAACCCAGGCCATTCTGGGATTCTATGATGGTGTGAGGACCCAGCGAATCTACTCCACTACTCAAGAACCAACAGAAGAGACAAAATTGAGTCCTACAAGGAAGGTTCTGTTAAGAAATTTGGCTAATGCCTCTTTAAGTAAGTTAGCAAAACTGCACGTAACTGTGGGTGCTAACATGGAAACAGGACAAGAGTTTGCATGGCACAATAACAGGCAGCAACTCTGGAATCCCTCTCTCCTTTCTTCCCATGCCTAAGGAAGGTTTCTTGTAGTGAGCTACCAAGAAGCAGAGACAAAGAGTATCCTTAAGTTAAACGCATTTCTTTTAACAAAACTCAAGATTAAATATGTTAATTATTCACTGTCTTTTAGTAATGTTTAGACTGCATTCATCCACAAACATTATGTTAAACACAATCGTAGGAAACCACCAGACATCTGAACACGCAGGTGACAAGTCTGGCTGTCATCACTGCCAAGTAAAACACAAGTTGCTCCTCAAAGTAGTCTTTACTATTCCTTTATTTTGGGCCATACTTCTGAGCAGATGATATGCATATGTTTATTTATAAAATAATTACAGATTCCTACAGAGGAAGATTTGTGCGGTTGTGATACTTCTGGTAGGGATCATCAACATACCAATTTCTTCTTTTCCAGAAAGAAGTGGTCATCTTATCCAGGAGTTTACACTGCGTTCTGTTGCACAACACAAACTCTCTCAAGCGCTTCTTCTGGGCAGTAGACTTCTTCCACAATTTCTTCTTGTAACCAGACTGCATAGGAAATACACAGTGAGTTGCTGCCAATACACACATATTGCAATACCCATAAGCAAACTAGCATAAATCCCCCACTTTCAGGAAGCGGAGGAGATGCACACTTCCATACCAGCTCTGTCCATCAGAACAAAAGCAATGAATCATAGAATGGCCTGGATTGAAAAGGACCACAATGATCATCCAGTTCCAATCCCTTGCTATGTGCAGGTTGCCAACCAGCAGACCAGGCTGCCCAGAGCCACATCCAGCCTGGCCTTGAATGCCTGCAGGGATGGGGTATCCACAGCCTCCTTGGGCAACCTGTTCCAGTGTGTCACCACCCTCAATGAGCCCACTGTTTTAAATAGGTTTATAATACCAGAACAAAACAAAATTGTACCTTTCTCCTAACCCAAAGACCATTGTGCAGTCGGAGAAACCTCTTAACAACAGCTTTCACAGACTTCCTCTTTCCCTTCCGTAGACTACAGTAAGTGAGAGGCCTCACAGGCTGCTGAAGTAGGTTTGGAAGTAGAGGTGTGAGTCTGAAGACAGCAGAAGGAGGAGGTAATACAACAGGAATGTAAATGTGGTTAAATGCTAAACTGTAAACACTCAGCTGTACTGGTATTCAGAAGTTATTTGGAGGATATATCTGGATTTGTTTAGCTTTAAGAA